CCACCGACATAGCGAGTTCATGGCCGCCTTGCTTGCGTTGTACGGCCCCCATCCCGCAGTTCCTTTCACGGCTGCACCTGAACTTACAAACACGATCCTCCCGCCACGGCTGCTCTTCTTCAGCCAAGGCAGCGCCGCTCTGGTTGCGGTGATAAGGGAGAAGAAGTTGACATCAAAGTGGCTCTTCCACTCAGGAAGGGGAGTGGAATCGCTAATACGGGTCATTGGATCGATTGTGCCTGCATTGAGGATGAGACCGTCGATGATCTGGTGACGATGAGCGACGGATTGGATAATATGAGTGAGCTTTTCATCGTCCACACTAAGGGTAAGGTCAGAGATGGTAGACTTCAAACAAAAATCGGACATACATATCACACTCGATAAACTCTAGCTGGGGATTCGTGAGCTCAATATCGGCCAACTCTGGACTTCGGGAACGGGAGATAGCGACAACGGTGGCATTGAATTCATTCAAAAGGTGTCTGGTGACTGCGAGGCCTATTCCTCTAATCAAGTCAATACTAGGTCCGCTAGAAGAGCATTTCGATTACTTTGAGGCACCAGTGATGACAATGACTGGCTTGTGGATCATGGCGGCGGTGATGCAAGTGAAAGGGCGGTCAAGGGCGGGCCGAGCCGCTTCTTTGGATCTGAGTTTGAAAATTGAGCACCGCGTAAAGCGTGGATTCTTCGGTTGGGGTTTCTGAAAATATCGGCGGCCAGCTGTTCACTCTAATCCTCATTCCACCATGTTGTCCCGTCTCCACCGTTTCGCCCCGGCCATTGCACGAGCACAGCGACCACTCCCAGCTGCTGCTGCCTCAGCCATCCCCAGGTTTGCTGCACGTCGTCGGTATGCAACGGAAGCTGAGCAGAACACGGTACGCTTCTTGTCGCGTCATAACCCGACTTCTCTGCATCCGGCACTAATGCTGAGTCCAATAGATGACCGTCCGTGAGGCCCTTAACCTGGCAATGGAGGAGGAAATGACCAGGGACGAGTCGGTGTTCATCCTTGGTGAGGAGGTCGCCCGTTACAATGGTGCCTACAAGGTATTTCCCGTTCACTCTCTGAGCACCCTTTCGTTCATGCTCACACGATTCCACAGGTTACCAAGGGCCTCATGGACAAGTTTGGCGAGAAAAGGGTCATCGATACGCCTATTACCGAGATGGGTTTCGCTGGTATCGCAGTCGGCGCTGCCTTGCAGGGCCTCCGTCCCGTGTACGCACCATTCCGGTCATCTCCTACACAGAACTCGGTTCACTAACCCGGAATAGTTGTGAATTCATGACCTTCAACTTCGCAATGCAGGCCATTGACCAGATCGTCAACTCGGCCGGAAAGACCTACTACATGTCTGGCGGCAATGTACCGTGTCCCGTCGTCTTCCGAGGGCCCAACGGTGCCGCCTCTGGTGTCGCCGCCCAGCACTCCCAGGATTACGCTGCCTGGTACGGCTCTGTTCCCGGTTTGAAGGTCGTCAGCCCCTGGAGTGCAGAGGACTGCAAGGGATTGCTCAAGGTATGCATCTACTTCACTTACCGAACTCGGGGCTCATTCTAATTCACTTTCTGATAACAGTCGGCCATCCGAGACCCCAACCCCGTCGTCTTCTTGGAGAATGAGATGTTGTACGGTGTCTCATTCCCCATGTCCCAAGAAGCCATGTCGTCAGATTTCCTCCTCCCCATCGGCAAGGCCAAGGTGGAACGCGAAGGAAGCGACGTGACTATCGTCGCTCACAGCAAGATGGTCACCCACAGCTTGGAGGCCGCCGAGATTCTCGCAAAGGAAGGCATCAAGGCTGAGGTTATCAACCTCCGAAGTATCCGCCCCCTGGATATCGACACCATCATCAAGTCGGTCAAGAAGACCAACAGGCTGATGATTGTCGAGGGTGGCTTCCCCATGTTTGGTGTTGGAAGCGAGATTTGCGCACAAATCGTGGAGAGCGAGGCATTCGACTACCTCGATGCACCCGTCGAGCGTGTCACTGGTGCTGATGTACCAACACCCTATGCTGCCAACCTCGAAGCCCTCGCCTTCCCTGACACACCACTCATCGTCAAGGTCGCAAAACGTGCACTCTACCGCACAAACTAAACGCTTCCTCCCTTTCTACGACTGGGGATTACATTTGGTGACTATAGACTTGACCCGCTTTCATTAGATACTCCCTTTATATTCCCTATATATCGATACATTGACTATTCATTGGGTTTTGTCATCAATTCCAAGAAGCTTGAAGACGAATGCGGACAGCATTCGCGTGCGCTTGTAGACCTTCGCAGTCAGCGAGAGTCGCGACGACAGGTCCAAGGCCACCGAGTCCCTCAGCAGTAATCTCCTGCGAGGTAATGTGCTTTTGGAAAGATAGCGTATTCACGCCGCTGAATTGGCGAGCGTATCCGTTGGTAGGAAGGGTATGATTTGTCCCAGAGGCATAGTCACCACAACTACGAAACCAGTAAGCATGGGCGTTGTGAACTCGATTGAACGTTCTGGCACTCACCTCTCAGGGGTATAGGCACCGACAAAGATGCTTCCTGCGTTATCGATCTGGGCAACCTTATCGCTTGCATTCTCCAGGTGGAGGATCAAGTGCTCAGGAGCATAGTCATTAGAGAAAGTAATACCCTCCTCCACCGTCTTCACTTTGACAATATTACTTTTTGCAATCGACTGTCGCACGATGTCGACGCGTTCCAGGGCAAGGGCTTGCTTGTTGACTTCTTCCTCGATTTCTGCAAGGTGCTCGTCGGTCAGGTTGATGGCGACGAGGACGACTTGGGAGTCGACACCGTGCTCAGCCTGAGAGAGCAAGTCAGCAGCGACAAAGGCTGGATTGGCGGTTTTATCTCCAATGACCTATGGTCTGGCTTTGAGAAAAGGTTCTCGATGGTAGGGTGAAAAAGACATACCAATACCTCCGAAGGGCCAGCAGGCATGTCGATCGAAACCAGCGCATCTGTGTCATTCTGCACCAGCATCTTGGCCGCTGTCACCCATTGATTGCCAGGTCCAAAGATCTTGTCGACCTTGGGCACCGTCTCCGTTCCATATGCCATCGCAGCCACAGCTTGCGCCCCACCGGCTTTCAAAATGGCGGTCGCACCGACCAGGTGAGCAACGTACATCACCTCAGGGGAGATGCTTCCGTCTGAGCGGGGAGGTGTAGCAAATACGATCTCTTTGCAGCCCGCGACTTGAGCTGGGATGCCTAGCATGAGAGCAGTAGAGGGGAGGATGGCAGTCCCTCCAGGGATATAGAGACCGACGCGGGCAATGGGTCGAGCGAAGCGGGAGCAGACGACGCCGGGCATCGTTTCGACTTTGAGAACGACATCGGACGTTTGAGCTTTGTGGAATTTGTGAATGTTGGAGTAGGCAACGTCGATGGCGTTGCGTACGGCAGGGTCGAGCTGCATCGACTCGGGTGCATAGGGAGGGAAGATGACGGTCGAGTCGAGTTGGGCCCGGTCGAATTTGGCGGTCAGTTCGAGGAGGGCTTTGTCTCCCTGTGTGCGAACTTGGTCGACAATGGGTTTTACTTTGTCGATCATCTGCGTCGAGTTGAGGACTGGTCTGCGGAGTAGCTGGGCACGCTGCTCTGGGGAGGTAGCGGAGAGATCGTAAGTTGTCATTTGGATCTTTCCATCTGCCGCAGGAGTGGATACGGTGGCAGGGGTAGGAGCGGCTCCCGATTCCTTCTTTTTCTCGACGAATTGTGGTTTGGTATTTCCAGCTCGTCGGGTCACGCGCTTCGCTTTGCGATCCAGCGACTTTTCAATGTCTGCGATGGACACGCCCGATGCAACGCATTTGGTGAGCGCAAAGTAGATGAGATCGGCTGCCTCGAAGGAGATTTCTTCCTTGGTCTCCGCCCTGCAAAGTTCGTCCGCCTCCTCCATGATCTTTGCGCGAAGCAACGCAGGATCGTTGAAGAGGCGGTGGGTATACGAGCCTTCGGGTGCGGATTCCAATCGAGAACGAAGGACATCCTCGAGAGCAGGCAATCCGCTCGCTTCGCCAAAACATGATTGGCGGTTGAGGTGGCAAAAGCCAGCGCCATGCTGAACGACGCGGAATTCGAGTGCGTCAGAGTCGCAGTCGAGGCGTATGCTGACAATTTCTTGCACAGCGCCGGAGGTCTCCCCCTTGCGCCACAATCCGTGTTTACGGGATTGATAGACGCCCTTGCCGGAGATGATGCTCTCGTTGACGGATTCCTTGGAGGAATATACGAGGCCGAGGGAATGGCCTGTTTCGGTCGCGACGATGGTCGGGAAGAGACCGTCTGGTCTGTCGGAGGTGATGGGTGCAAGATATGCGTCGGTGACGTTGAGGTGGGTGGATGAAGATTGCCCAACGGTGAGCTGGGACTCGAGAAGCACGGGTGTCGCGCCAATGCTCTTCAGCTGGCGAATTTTGGATGCGGTGGGGAGTTCGGTGGAGGTTGAGAGCACATAGATAGCAGATCCAGAGAAGAACTTGGCAATTGAGGAAACAAAGTCTAGATCTAGTGACGGTGTTTTGAGGAGGACACCTGATACGCCTGTCCGAACTTTATCGGAAACGGCGCTGACGTTGGATACGTCCAAGAGGACGACGAGGCGCTCTGGTGGGATGACGGAGATGACCTCTTTTGTCCATGCGAGAGGAAGGATGAGCTTTTCGACGCCTGAATCAAGCAAGCCGATTAGCTTCTCGATGTCCAAGGGTCCGTTAGAGTCGAAGAGAAGGTAAGAATGGTCGGCATTGGGGCTGGATGATTGGGAGAAGATGACGGGGCCAATGCGGTTGACAGCCTTGAAAACGTCAGACTGCCCCCGGGATACCAAGGGAAGGAACGAGGAGGACATTGTGGGTAGGGCGAAAGGCAAATTTTGGGAGTTAGGGGCGCTTTCAAGCGACTGAGGGGGGTTGAGATGACTCGATAAGATTAGATTAGCCGGTTTTGTAACAGGACTTGGCTATTGACTAGCCTCTCAACGGATCTGTAGTGTAGCGGTTATCACTCGAGATTCTGATTATCTGATTTCTCGAAACCCAGGTTCGATTCCTGGCAGGTCCTATTACTTTTTTCACCTGCCCGACGCCATCGCCCGAGGTTCTCCCATCGTACCGCCTTCCACGTATATTGCACGCCCACCCCAAGGATCCGGTTTGCTTCTATTTTGTGCTATGGATGTTCTGTTGCCTAGTTGACCCACGCGACAGGGCGTGAGTATTGACGTTGTATGGCATTTCCAGTGATGTCATGGTCATCGACGTCATGAAACACGGTATGCGCCTATAAAGTCGAGCGACGCCAAGGTCTGTAACTCAACATTCCTTTCCAGATTTTTTCAAGAATGGCGAGCATTCACATTCCCAAGATCCTTCTCGCGATTCCTCGCAACCCTGTAACAGCCTTGGGTCTGCCTCTGGCGCTTGGTTTCCTCACCAGCTACCCTGCACCAACCAAAGTCCGCAACACTCATTGGTACCACGTACGTCGTCGTTCCGTTCTAGCTACAAAGATCCCAACTGATTCATCTATGTAGTCGCTGGCCGCACCTCCAGGCAAGCCTCCCCGCGAAATCTTCCCTTTTGTCTGGACTCTCTTGTATCTCTGTAAGTACCCAGCCCTCCACCTTTGTCACGCAGAAATTCATCTTTGAACAGCCATGGGTTATGCCTCTCACGTCGCTGTGAAAGCCCTGGACCGTGCCGTTCTCCCTATTAGCCAAAACGATCTTAGCTGGGGTATCGCGCTTTACTACGGTCAACTTGGCCTGAACTTCCTCTGGACCCCCACATTCTTTGGAACCCACAACATCGGGCTCGCTCTCATTGACAGCGTGCTCTTGACTGGTACCTCTTGGTACATGACAGTACGTGGCTTCCATATATTCTATCTGCCGCAGAATCTGACCTGCATTCAATAGAAACTCCTTGACCGACCCACCAACGGCAAGGCCACCTACTTCCTCCTGCCCTACTGTGGCTGGTTGGCATACGCTACCTACCTTAACGGTGGTATCTGGTTCTTGAACGGACCTGGAAAAGAGTACGGCAAGGGATCCCCCAGGTTGTAAAATACTTTACCCACATACGATAGTTTCGCTTAATGCTTTCGCGTTCGCTTTCTTCAAACATGGACAGTTGTAATACCGTCTCGATGTATTCCTTCGCAATTCAACACCTCAATCAATAATCTTTAACACGCATCGATTGACCCATTGACTCGAGCTAAACCTCTACTTCGTCGAAGGTATGATCGTCGTCGAGTGCAGCCTCGTATTCCTCGAGTGACATGAGCTTCGGCTTATCCCCATTCTCATCCTTCATTGGCGGTTCAGTAGGCACGGCATCTGCGTTCACAACTTCCCTGTGAGTTGCTTCAGCTTGCGCTTCACCTACCTCTCCTTCCCTCCTCAACCCAAGGATCTTGGCACAAGATAATTCGGAACGCTTCCCCCATTCCTCCGTCTCTGGACGAAAGTCGCAATATAGCGAATACCCCCTTTGATTCAAACTTGAACAAGTGTAGCTCTGCGCTAGAAGGCGGAGGGCTCCGATCACAAATGGTGTTGTCTGCCTGAAGGAGCGGCAGATGTAGGTGAAGGCGTTTATGGGTGGGACGGGAGATCCATTGGAGAGTGCACGCCATCGGCCCTCTTGGGTCTGGTAGAGAGGTCTGCAAGGACGTGCCCTCTAAGTGGTTAAAGGCTGTCGATAAGAGATGGATACTCACATTCTAAGGGTGGCAGTCAGTTCATGCATGAAATGACGAAGAAGGGGAACACGTACCGTCGACCCATGAGTTCGACGTAAGGTTGGCTACCAGACTTGATGCCTTGCTCCTTATCTGCCTTATATATTCCAAGGTTGATACCTCGAGATATTGCATTCATCTCTGTATATACAGATGCTTCGAAAGCCCTGCGTTAGCCAAAAGGGCACCGTAAAGGCTGAAGCAACTGCACCTATACTCAACGCTTCTTCTCTTGAAAAGCCCAAACACTCGGCAACGACCATTGACCAGGCAGTCATGACGGGTGCCCGGTTGATAACGACGAACTTGGATTTAAGTTCCTGGTGAGTTACGCTATGAGCCACGATAACCCACGGTGCAGCAATCAAAGCCGGTACGCACCTCTTCGTCGAGGATTTCGTTAAACTCCAGATTCCCGAGGTCGACAGCTTCGTCTGAAGGACCTTCTGGCAGAAACTCGTTCTTTTGAGATAACTTTACCCGTTTCCTCCTTGCAGGTGTTATCTGGTGGATGTCAGTACGCGCATAGTAGTCAGCTTGCTCGCAACGGACCATCGCTTCTACTGCGGTCAGAGGTTCTGTCGCAGCCTCACTCTTCCTCTTCTTGGAGGATGAGCGAGGTGGAGAGGCGCCAGGCAGCTTCGAGGGCCCAGCTTCAGCATTGCTTGCCACTGCCGGAAGCTCATCGTCATCTTCCTGCTTCTTGACGCGTCGAAGAGGTGTTTTCGGGACTGGCTTGAATCCAGCCTTCCGAACCGCTGCCAAAACAAGTTTACGATCACTCGCTTCCGTGATTCCACAATCGGTAAGCGTGAAATCATTCAAATCCCTCAGCTTTGAGGGGGTACAATTGGTCTTGTATCTGTCATGTGTCGAGTCGAGTCGAGTCGCGCAAGAGTTAGTTAGGGGCTTCCGCTTAATGAGGGCGGATGAACGCACATTTTGCCAGCCAAGGCCATAGCCTTTGTCATTGGTATATTGCCAGACGTGAGATACTTTAAGAACTGAGCTAGAGGGATCTTCTTCTCCTCAGGTTCTGAACCAGACGACATAGTGAAGGACGGTGGAGGTAGATGACCAAGGACTAATCAGACGGAACCGAAAGTGTCAGACGGAGAACGCGCCTGCCCCATTTTGATGAACGATCAAACGGCTGCTGTCATTCTCTCATTCAACACGCCCTTGACGTTCACCCCGACCTCCTTGTCATTGAGCAGCAAACAGACACATAGAAATGCCGCCGAAGAGCCGCCACGAAAGTCAACCCCCAATAGAGACCAAGGATGAGCGCAGGTCGCCTAGCATGGAGCCTGAAGAGGACGAACTTGACGAAGATGTCGAGATGCGAGACGGGGAGGATGAGGATGGGGAAGAGGAGGTTGGGGACCCGTTTGTGTTTCAAGTGCGGGGTGCTTTAACGCCTTGTGGGGCACAGCAGATGTCACTCAAGGAACTGCACGGTGAGTACTTGTTCGACCACGTTGTGCTCTTAGCTCAATACGGTATGAAGAATGGATTCACGATGGGAGGATAAACATCAACCCTCCATACCAAAGAGGTATGCTACTCTCTTCGCATTGGCCAAGCTAGACGGCTGCTCAATCGACGGGCAAATCCATAGACGCCGTGTGGCCGGACGCGAAACAAGTCACACTCATAGACTCCATCTTCAAGAATTACTACATTCCTCCTCTCGTATTTGCCGTGCGCTGGGACGAAGACGAGGAAGAGTGGATTCGGACATGTATCGATGGGAAGCAGGTGAGCAGGGCTTGCTTTATCCGCTGTGGTTGGCAGGATTTCTGAATGCCCAAGCCTAGCGTTTAACGTCTATCATGAAGTTTCGAGAAGGAAGAATACCGCGTTAGTCCTTTCCGTCGGAAAGAACGCGATAGGATTCTGATCCCACAGTGCAGATAGAGACGTCGTGACCCACAAATCGTGGTTCTACACACGACCGGATAACAAGAAAAGCAAGGTTCAGCTCGAACTTCCTGAAAGTGCGCGAGCGCTATTCGACGAGAAGAAGCTGACTGTTGGTGAGCACTCCTTCGGATCCATGCTTGTCGCGAGATGCTAAGCTACTCCAGTTGATTACTATAACATTTCACCGAAAGACGAGAGGAAAGTGTTCGAACGCGTCCAGTTGGGCGTCCCATTGACAGCTGGAGGTCAGGACCCTTATAACGCTCTCATGGCCAGACTCGTGACACTAACCCTATATACACAGAGAAACTGCGCGCTGTCAATGCGCCGAAGGCTATGTACGTTTCCGTTCATCACCCATTTGGCGTCTGCGCATGTTTCTGACACTCGATTAGTTGGGTAAGCGACCTAGAGCAAAAGCACGTGGCCATCGAGAACGGTATCAGCGAATATATCAAGACGCAGCACAACCGAGGCAAGGATTTTCAAAATCTTGCCCAGATGGTCTACTTTTGTGAAGGGATCGAACACGACGTCGAGGGGAAGCCACCAGGCCAGGTCACTCTCACAGCATGGCTGGCTGACACAGAAACCACACTATCCAAGACATTCATGGACGATATCGAGGAGACCCTATTGGAGCTGAGAAATATCGCTTCGGATAAGAAGTATAATGAAGGACTGATGACACTTCAGAAGTCCAAGAAGGTCTTCGCGCCTATCGAGTTCGTGTTTATGGGTGAGTGCAAATCTTCTTAGTCCCGTGTTTCTACCAGCTGATATATTGCCCAACCACAAAGGTATCCTCCTATATCGCATCGCCGACGAATCCAAAGCAGTCAAGGCGAAGGCCCTCTGCACTATGATCTCCGCCATCCGGGAATCCTTTGTTGACGTCCGAGCTAACACCAACGTGGTGAAGACGCTGTGGAATTACTGCAACCAACTGGTGAAGCACCCAAATAGACAAGTGACAGTGGTGCACATGGCGCCTGCAAAAAAGGGCAAGACCTCGAAAAGCAAGCCATGAAGGAACCCAGCGAACAACCGCCACTCCAAGGATTCGGCAGAGGGTTCGTTATTGCTCCTCCTCGGCTCCCGCGAACATTGCTGTACATTGTGAGACCTCCGTTTCTATCTACCAGTTCAGCCCAGTATCTGTACCATCAACCCTTACTCCCCACCTGCCATTGTGCCGGCCTGGCCTGGCCTCGTCCATTGCCGCACTTTCGTCTGTCACGCTGCCACCATACTTCAGCTGCAGACGTAGCTTTCAGAGGGGCCTTAATCGTGTCTGTACATTACTCTATATTAACTAGGACCACCAGGAATACACTCAACCATCTTTTTAACCTCCTGTGCCGGTTCTCCGCCGACTCGGACTTCTA